GAACCTAGCTGGAAAATGTTCTGCGCCATACCTTCTGGAGCACTTTCTTTGTACCTGACTTAGCAACTCATTGTGTCCTAGCTTGTATTATAGTTATGTAGGCATATATTATCTCCTTCCTACCAGACTCTAAGTTTCACAAGGGCAAGGACTATATCCTATTTATCTCTGTATTACCCTTAGCACCTAACACTGCTAGAGTGCTCTGCTCATTAAATGCGTGCTTAATAAGGTGCTTACTGAATTTAGTGAATGATAAGCGGATGTAGATCTGTTGGATCAACTAGAAAATCTTAGCTACAAATTAAAGTGCAAATCCCTGAAACTCAGGGTAATAATTATACCCGTTCTTTGCAGGTAACTAGAGGAGCCTCTACCAAGGATCCTGAGATACCGCGGACATTCAAAGATTAGACAAGTGCTTGTTGCTGAATCCTTTTATTGGCCTAGTAATTTGGGCTCTGCCCTCAGCATAAATACATTAGCATTGGCACCAGTCATAAGGGATCGTACCCCTACTGGTGAAAGAGCTTTCCTGCCATAGAAAACACAATGTAGGGGATAGGGGCCTCTACTTTTTCGGGGCTGCAGCAACAGCAGGCTTCTCCTCGCGAGTGATAGGAATGGTGCGCTCAGGGCCAGTGGCCTGTTTCCTTGGTCCAATCACAGTAAGGACCCCATCAGATGACAGAGATGAGGTGATGGAGAGTGGGTCCACATCAGCTGGGATCCGGTACTTCCTATGGAATTCCCGGGAGATGAAGCCATGCTCATCCTGGTCCAGGGTAAGGAGGGACAAAGGTAGAAAGAGAAAGGGAAAGAGGGAAAGAGAGGGAGGAACAAGAAGAGAAACCACTTGAGCAGCATCACCACTTGCTCATAACCTAGTCACATTTTCACACACACATCCCCCCTCCCCCTTGTTCCTCATTGCCCCTGAGTACTGGGTAGGTATGTGAAGCACTTCTGGGAAGTTCGTTTGGTTTTGGGATTCAGACTGGAATCAAGCAAGATTTCCCTGGGTATGCTACTCCTTCAGCAGAAGTACTGGGAGGTTTGGACCAACCCAAATATGCCTCAATCCCCAAATCCATGGTGGATTGGGTTGTTTCTGAGATCTCCTTAGGGGTTTAGATCATCACACCCAACAGCCTAGTTGAATTTAGGATTCCCAGGGCTAACCTTGGTGTATTGAACCACAGACAAAAGCTACAACTCATCTGGTCTGCTTGGCACTGGGAATGACAGAGAACAAGTAGAACCGACGGGTTCCACCTGTATATCTTTAATTTGATTTTATATCATTCCAACCCAGGGGTATGCTGGAGCCCACTTGAACCAGCTCCTAAGAGCTGATTATAAAATTTTTAGTGTGAGTCTTTACATCTACAAATAAGGGCTTGATTTCTTTTTTTGCTTGCCTGGACTTAAGAAAGTGATAGGAAAAAGTGTTAGTAATGCAGATTAAATTTTAAAATGCATCCTACATACATTTTTTTTTCTTCTGGAGAGCTGGTTGTTACCAGCACTCCCTTGTTTCCAACCCAAAACATTTGGGCAGAAATGGACTGGGGTATGTTGAATGCAGTTTGCCACAATGCCTAGAGTTTGGGATTAGTCACCAGGTAACAGAAGAGAAGGTGCATCAAAAACCTCCAGGAATTGATATTTATTTCTTAATAAGGAAAGACTGCACCAGAGTTTAGGCTCCAAAGGACAAGGCCTTGGGCTAGCCCCTCATATTCTCTGACCCTTCAAAACTTCATTAGGAAGTGGCCTCTCTGGTGATTTTCACATGGTCTTAGCATTCAGGGAGTTAAATACGGCTCTAAAACTTAGAACCAGAAGTTCAGAGAAGGAATGAATTCCAAGTGGAATGAATGATGGGTTTCTACTTGGGATATACTCACTCCCCCAGCTCTAAGAATTTCAGGAATCCTTCTCTTCTCTCTCCCCTTCTTCCCCCCCTCCCCTTAGCAATTCCTCCTTCCCCCTAGACACAGCAGAAGAGTGACTATTCAAAGCAAGGGGGTAGGGTAAGGCTGCCAATAAGGGGCAGGCCAGATACCTGACGCTCTTCATGCTTTCCATGAACTTCGACCACATCGCCCAGCACTTTGACCTTGAGCTCCTCTGGAGAGAAATGCTTCACATCCAGGTTTACTGAGAATTTGTCCTTCTCCAGTCGCATCTAGAGATATCAGAGAAAGTTCAGGAGAGGGAAGGACAAGGAAGTTAAGATATTCTCTCTGTCTCTGTCTCTCTCTCTCTCTGTAGGGGGCATTGATAAGCCAAGATAAAACACATCCGAAAACCTATATCCTTCTTTCTCCTTCCCTTCCCTCCCCCCTTCTGCCCCACCCCCTGGGAAAATACCTTTCCTTAAAAAAACAAAATCATAGCCCTCTGGCTCATGGGAGCCTTGGCCACCAACCCTTAACTGATCTTATAGGCCTGAGGAGAAGCCAGGACATCCTTAAAGATGCCCAAAGTGTGAGCCAAGATGCCCACAGTACATCTACACTAAACAAAAGATGGGCCGGGTTATAATTCTCACGTTCACAACCTACCCCACCCCTCTCATTTTGCCAGATGCAAACCTCCAAGCCCCAGGATATTTATCTGTAAAAACAAAGGCTTCTTCTGCCTGTTCCTCAGGACTGCCAAGTTTCCCACCCACTTAATCTAGAAACCATCCAGCTTGCCCTTTCAATGCCCTTGCCCACTGCCTCATGGGCTCCTGTTTACTCATACTTCAGTATTTTTAAATGAGGGTGTTGTTTGTGACACAGCTCTTATCTGTCAACCTAATCAATTCATCTCTCTTCTTTCCTCTTCCAAAGCAGAGTAGAGAGCCCGAGTCTCCAATAGGGGTCCAGAATCTGAGCTAAGAACTAAAAAGATGGCCTTACTCCCTTCCTTACATTTAAGCCCAGACTAATACTCCCTCTTAACCCAAAGAAACCCAACAATCACTGCCAGGAGGTTGACAGACAGGAGGGAAACAAGATTGCTTTTTATGGTCTTACACCGGGAAGCTAAGAATAAGGTCAGGGGCCTCTCAATCCTGGAAGAAAACATATACAACTAAAATAAAACCAGCAAAAAATTATCAGAAAAGGGCTATAAGGAACCAGAACAGGTGATCAAAGAATGCTAGGGCTAGTTCTTTCTAGATACTTTAAAGCAAAAAAGTAACTCCTATCTCTTAAAGCCAAATTAAGGACTGCCCAGAACCCCGGGGGCAAATAAGATGACCTCAATGGGTCCTAAGGATTTTATTAATAGGATATTTTGACCTTGTCCTTCACAGAGAGTCTAAAATAAACTGGACCAGACTCGCTGAGAAACTGTTGGTGACCTCATCTTTCTACACTACCAGGCACAGATGCTTTAGACATCTGTTCTGTAGATGCGTATGTTGGGAAAGCTGAAGCCATGAGCTCAAAGAGATGGATTGCACTAAGAAAGCGATGCCCAAAGAACCTGCCCCTTGCTTGACAGAGGGAAGACTTACCTCTGAGAGCCCAGTCTCAAGCCAGCTAGGTGTTCGAAGGAAAGAAGGTCGAAAGTAGAAAGGACTCAGGGCAGTGGAGGTAGGGAAGAGGTCGGACTCCAGCAGATGCTCTCCAAAGAACTGGTCAAAGATTCGGCTGGGTGAGTGGAAAGGAAAGAAGGGTCGTCGGATCCAAGGATGGTGGATGGCGATGTCCATGGTTGCTAGAGAAGTTTGTGGGGTACGGCTGGTTGGGCAGCTCCTTCAGCCCAGGCTCCAGCTAGGCTCTTATATACCCAGCACCCGTGAAGTTTCTGGAATGGTGATGTCAGGAGTTTTATTATCCCAGTTCATGGAGGACTGGTGATCGGGGATTTGGCTGTGACACACACCCAGTACTCACCAAGCTAAGAAAAGAGAAACACAAACATGTCTGAGCTGGCAAGTGACTAGTCCTGGCCTCCAAATATGGGTGCTTTCCCCGCCCCTTGTTCCACCCCCCCCCCAACCCGCTATCCCTCAACACTGGTTCTCCCTCCCTCTTGCTAAGGCTGAGCCAGGAATCCCAAGCAGCTTGCCCTTCCCCCTACCACTATAGTCTCACATGCCAGGGGGATCAGGCCAGCAACTATCTTGGGCCCAGGCAGAGACTGGCAGGGAAGGAATCTGCCTGGGCTGGGTCCCAAGGACATTAACTCTTTGTGACTCCTTGGAGAAAGAAGACCAGTGGTCACAACTATGTCATTGTCTAGACATTTCTGTGTTGCCCTAGGTAGAAGGGAGGAATAAGGGGGAGTCCTTGACACCATTCTAGCCAGAAAGGACTTTTGTCCTTCAATGATTCTGAGAAAGGAAATAGGGTAGAAGGTGGTGGTGGGGGAAAAACAAGCTTATAAAATTACAGAATTTTAGATAAAAAGGATGGCAGAGCATGGATTAGAACCCAGGTTTTGAAAAGGAATGAGACTGCCATAACACCTTGAGAAGCAGTCTGGTATAGCAGATGGTACCTTGGTTTTATAGTGAGAAAAACCTGAGTTTGAATCCTGCCACATACATTTATTATTCCTGTGACCTTGGGCGAAAAAATCCCTCCACTTCTTTGGGCCTCACTTTCCTCATCTGTAAAAATGAGGTTGGATAGGATGTCCTCTAAGATTCCATCTAGTTTGAACCAATGATACTTGATACTTGGCTCTCAGATGACTAGCAGATTAGGTTTAAGAAGATGCAAAAGGATTTAGGGTGCTGTCATCTGGGAAGCAGGCAAGAGTTTGGGAAGACTCCGGTAAGGATGAGTCTCCTGCCCTCCTTGGACCCGAATCCAGTTCACTCAACCCAGATGAGCAGCTGAACAGCTGAACAGCTGAGCAACCAGATCCGAGATGGAACTGGAGGGGGAGGGAAGGCACAATCCACAAAGCTTCCCTTCCCCCACTCCCTCCAAGGCTCTGTACTATTTTTGGGCAGTGTCGACCCCGCCCCAGCCCCAGCCCCAGCCTTCCCGGGGTCCTTTCCAGAGTACTGGCTATTCATCCTGGCAGGAGGGGCCCGCTGTGTCCACAAGGGTTGATCCGTGGCTGAAGGTCCATCTGAGGCCATGTCGGGTCGCTCAGTGCCACACGCCCACCCGGCCACCACCGAGTACGAGTTCGCTAATCCGAGCCGCTTAGGTGAACAACGATTTGGGGAAGGTACAGGATTGACGCCGCCCCCTCCTCCTACCTCCATTGATTTGGGGGGCTGATCTCCCAGCCCACACTAACCATCACCCCCCCCCCAACCTGAACTAAATTGACCTCCTGAGACTGATCATCTCTCATCCAAGACTGACTTTTCCTATCTGGGTTATTGCCTCATTCCCTTACTGGCCCCCCACTACAGTCATCTGACCCAGGGGGACCCTACTGGACAGATAGCCGTCACAGTCCTTAACTGGTACCTTCTCTCTTTCAACATCTTGGCTTCAACTTTTCTTCTTTCCCTTGTCTCCAATCCCCCATCCTATTTATTATAATTTTTGTATCTTCCCTCTCCGTCTCTCCATTTCACTGGGGTGAAGGGGCAAATCTGGAGTCAGAGGCAAATCTGACCCTGTCCCCTGCTGCCTATGTGTCCAGTCATCTGTTCTGTGCCTCAGTTTCCTTGTCTGCAAAAATGAAGAAGTGGTTGCCAGTGTAACTTTAGACCACTCTCTGGGCCTCAATTTCCTATCTGAAAAAAACGAGGAGGGTTGGACTCCATGGCCTCTGTGATCCCTTTCCAGCTCTAAATATGTGGTCCCTTCTCTTTACTCCCACTCTTCTCCTTGTATGCATTTCCCTCTCTTTGGCACGTCACTTTCCTTTTGCTCTTCCCCTCCTGTCTTACCCTGTACCTTTTCTCTTCTCACTTTCCATTCTCCTTTTACACTTCTTTCCTTTGTCACATCCCCATTGCCTACCTCATCTTTCCTTTCTGTTTATCTACCCTTTAGGCTTGCTCCCAGAGGAAATCCTGACTCCCACCCTGTACCATGGCTACTATGTCCGACCACGTGCAGCTCCAGCTGGGGAAAGCAGTGGAGCAGGGGCCTCGGAGCTCCGTCTTAGTGAAGGCAAGTTCCAGGCCTTCCTGGATGTGAGTCATTTTACCCCAGATGAGGTGACAGTGAGGACCGTGGACAACCTGCTGGAGGTGTCTGCCCGGCATCCTCAGCGCCTGGATCGACATGGTTTTGTTTCTCGTGAGTTCTGCCGTACCTATGTCCTGCCTGCTGATGTCGATCCCTGGCGAATTAGGGCTGCACTCTCCCATGACGGCATTCTTCATCTGGAGGCTCCACGGGGAGGAAGACATTTGGACACAGAGGTTAATGAGGTCCACATTTCTCTGTTACCTAGGCCTCCTGACCAGGAGGAAGAAGGGGAGGGAGACTTGATGGGACTCTGAGTATCCCAAACCTGGCACCAAGCAAGTTCCTTTCTACCTTACAGGAAGGGCTACTGCTGTATGGTGAAGAGAGCAGCTGCCCACCAGCTTAGAGACAGTTATATCTCATGGGGGAAAGGAATGAAAAGGGGAAGGGGAGAGGGGATGGAGCGAGGGTATGGCGGGGTTGGGGGGAGAATAATAATGATCCAGAGTGGAATGTCTATCTAGTTTGGTCCCTTGGAACATGTGATAGCCTTGTCATTCAGCTGTGGGTAGAGATGAATAAATCTAAATCCCAGGGCCCTGTTTGTGTTTCTCCCTATTCTATAGCCTGAAGAATAAGACTAAGAGTGAGGAAAGAAGTCCTAGACGAGGGCTGCAGAATTCCTGGCTGGACAGAGTGCTCAGAATTTGGATATGCTGAGCTCAACGCCAGACTAAGCTCACAGCTGGATGCTGTGATTACAGCCGGGCATTGGCACTGACTCCTAATCAGATTCCTAGCTCTGATTTTCTCACAATACAACAAAAGCCAGAGTGATCCTGGTAGGGGATGAGGACTGTGCCATCCAAACAAGCCAGAGGGCATTGTCTGGGCTGGTGATTAGAGATACAAAAACAAGGGTCTCCAGACAGTCTGGATTTTTCAAGGTAGAACTTGGGATGAGTCTGGGGAAAAGAAAAGAACATGTTTTTGTCTATGCAGTGCTGTCTAGAGCAATGTCCTTTAGTTCCTGGGCACCTACTTCTATCAACTAGACAGAGTTCTTACATTCAAGGGACTGAATACACCCAGGGAGCACGAATATTGGAATGAATGAATGAATGAACAAATGAATGAATGAATGAAAAAGCATTAAGCAAGGAATCATCCTCCACAATCACCCTTGTGCCCCAAAGTGTCCATAGCAGTCATACATCATGATGCTAGAAGGGTTTTTAGAGATCATCTGACTTAATCCTTCATTTTGTATATGAGGAAACTGAGACCCAGAGACTTAAAATCCTAAATTTGGAGATGGATGAGACCTTAAAGTTCATGTAGACCAACACCTATATTTTACAGATGAGGAAACTGAGGCCTATAAAGGAAAAGTGACTTGTTCCAGGTCATGCAAGTAGGTAGAGGGAGAGCTGAGACTAAAACCCGAGGTTTTTTGCTCCTAACGCATTTTCATAAACTTATAATTTTTTTCAACTAATAATCATTTATTTTATTTCCCTGCCACCTCCCCTGCTTTGTGATAAATATGCATGGTTAAGCAAAGCAAGTTTCCATATTTGCCACTTCCAAAAATGTATGGCTCAGTCTACATTTTTAGTCCATCACCTCTCTGTCAGAAAATAAATAGCATGCTACATCACTGGTCCTCTGGAGCTGATCACTGTGTCAGGCAGAGTCCTAAGTCTTTCAAAGTGATCCAGCACCTTTACATAGACTCCTACCCTTTCTTTCAGGCTGGGGAGAAAGTATTTCACTCTAATTCATGAAATATCCCATAGCAAGAATCAAACTGCTCCATCAACTTCTAGCACTATTTCTACCACTTTAAGGAAAGGACCAAACATATAGAGAGAGGGAGAAGGGGGTGGTGGTGTCCAAGTTCGTATTTCAGGGTTGGTGTGTCCAGAAAGGATGGTTATTGCTTTTTTTGGGGGAAGTAGCGTTGAGGGAGGCCCAAAGTTCAGGGAAAGGGAAACTGTTGAGTGCACAGGATAGCTTTGGGAACCTGGGCCCCTAGACATTCTTCGTTCGGTCCTTGAATAGATACCCAACAATTTTCCCCAAATTCTCTCTACCACCAGCCTGTCATTGAGAGCTGAAAATTCTCCATTAGAAATTAATTAACCAATTTATTGTCTCCAGTTAAAATGTAAATACTGGTGAGAAGGTTAGCATAGTAGGTACCTTAATGTGATAGATTGATTCTTCAGTAGCTGGAGGTTCTGTGACCTCACCAGTGCTGGGGACCCCTCCACAAATACTTCCTTGTCCTATGCAACTCTTGTACCTGCCCTCCTATAAATCTTTAATAGGGGTTCCATACAGTGGATTAAGGGTCTTCTCCTGTCTTAGTCACAGTGACACTTGGCACTGATACCGATCAAACCTGAGGACTGTCCAACAGTCATCCCTTGCTCTTGTTACTGGCCAGCCCATCTGTTTTTTCTGGTCATACATTTGTCTGATGATATCCTTTACCCTCCTTCTTTTCCTCAGTTCTTCATTTGTAATGTGTTCCAGCCTGCTATCGTTCAATTCAATCCAACATGCAGTTATTAAGCACCTACTATGTGCAAAGCATTTTCCTAGGTGCTGGGGATATAGATAAAACACTCCCTCCCCTCAAAGGACTTACATTCTACTAGGGAACACAATATTTTCACATATAATTAAATACAAAATATAACGTAATATAATTTGTAGGGGAGAAGGAGAGAAAGCACTAACAAATCAAGGGACCAGAAAAGGCCTTGGGTAGGGAGTAGCACCGGTTCATCTGAGCTCTAAAGGCAGCGAGAGGTTCCAAAAGTTAGAAGGAAGGAGGGAGAGATTTTCAGGCCTGGAGAATAGTCTTCACATGTATGGAAGGGGGAGATAGAATGACACGTGTGGGGAAGAGCAAGTAAGCCAGTCGGACTGAGGGGGCTTAATGTAAAGTCAATCTGGAAAAGGTGGGGTGGAGCCACGGGCCTTTCTGTTGCTGTCTGGGTGACCCCCAACGTCAGTTCTCAGAGTTCATAGTGTTCCTTGACTTGGAGCTATTTTTAACATCAATGCTCTTCTCCCCTAGTTATGCCTTTACTCAAAAATATCGAACACTCTTACTAAGTGAATACAACATCATGAAAACCATCATAGAGAACACCGAGAAGCATAAAGCATCACCCGAGTAGTTGTAGTACTGCATAGTTTACAAAGTGCTCTCCTCATGTATTGTCTCTTTTGTCCCTCAATCAACCCTGGGTCACCTATGTGTGACTCAGTCATAGAATAGAACAGGTATGATTTTCTTCTCTTTACAGATGAGAAATCAGGCTCGGAGAAATTAAGTGTGAGCTCAGTAGAACTGAGTTCGAATTCTGTCTTAGTCACAGTGACACTGGGTAACCTCAATTTCCACAGCTCTAAAATGGGAATAATAACAGCACCTAAGCTCACAGGGTCTTTGTGAGGATCAAAAGAGATACGTATAGCTCTTTGCAAACTTTAGCGCAATATACAAATGTGAGCTATAATTATTATTTCATGGAAGATTAAACTGAGGCTTAGAGAGATTAAGTGATTTGCCCATAGTCACAGAGCTGGTAACACAGGAGCCAGGTTTCAAAACAAAACCTCAGTACTCCAAAGCCACATCTTTCAACTATATATACACCAATCAACCCTGGTCTTTAAACTTTAGACCTCAGGACACATGTGTTCCGTGCTTGTGCCTTGCCTTAAGATCTGGGGTTTGAGAAACAAGGTACGTTTGCCTCAAAAAGGTAGCTAAGCAAGCCAAGCTCTCCCTTCGGAGAGGCATCATCTATAGGGTGGAGAACACTTCCTCAGGCACTGGAAGCTAACACCTCATTCCACCTCAAGTTTCTTTGCATGGGAATGTGTAGTCCAAAGCATAAGGTTTCCTCAAAGGAGCTCCAAACTCTCAAGAGTGACACAATTCCCACCTGAGGCCAGCCAAGTGTGTGTGTGGCCTTGCTTCCTCCTCTCCAGTCTGGGAATGGGCCCACCTGACTATCCTTCCAGCAGGTGGCATAGGAAAGTCATCCTGCTCCCTGTGCAGGGCGAGAAACCTGACGCTGACGGACTGCTCTCTGGGAGCAGCCGCTTGTGGCTGGACAAGAAACCAGGAAATGCACATTCCTTTTATGTGGAAAAGCACCCTTGGGGACAGAGCACCATGGGAAACCAGCTCTGCTGTGGGGGAAGCTGGTGAGTAGTGGGCAGAAGGAGATTATCATTCTGTGTGGGGAGAGGGACGCCTCAGCCTGGGCAAGAGGCACCAGTGTCTTGCCAGAGAAAGCCAGCGGGGAGACAGGCTTTTGCTGCCTCCCTGTGCCTGGCACCTCCTGGCGCCTGTGCCCACTCCCACCCAGCACCTGCTGCTGGGCTGACTTCCTGGGAGAGCCCAGAGAAAACAGTGAGTTGGTGTTCTGGGGCTGAGCCGTCTCCATAACAGGCAGAAACTGACTGTGCGCATTCCAGTCAGTCCCTCCCTGGTCAGACCTAGGAAGGAAAATCAAAGCTTGGTGGTTCTTGCTTTTTCTCACTCCTGTTCTTCCTCTTCCTCATTTCACCCCATATTTCTTCATAATTAAGGTAACCAGATTTTGGGAAATGTCAAAAATGACAGAGGTAAGAAGAAGGAGGAGGCTTATTTGGATATCCGTAGAATGCATGTATAGACTGAGTGCTAGATTTAGAGTCAGGAGAGAGCTGGGTTCATATCATACCTCTGACATTTACTAGTTACACAATCAGGGATGGGCAAGTCCTTTCACCTTTCTGAAACTATTTCCTCATCTGTAAAATGGCAGTAATATTTCTGTAGAATGTATTTCATAGGGCTTTCTAAGGGAAAATGAGAATTGCTTTGGAAATCTTAAATCACTAAGTAAATGTCAATTATATTGTTATTATTTTTGTATCATATATACATACATATCTATCTATCCTTATATACACACATGTACACACACACACACACACACACACCATCAAATGAATGGACATGGTAAGACCCTGCTAGTGTATAGTGACCATATTTCCCACGTTTTCTAGGATAGTCATGATTCTTAGAAAAGAAAGTGTGCTTTTAATGAGGCTTTTTAAAAGGATTATTTCTCTCTCTCTGTCTCTCTCTCTCTTTCTCTCTGTCTCTCTCTCTCTCTCTCTCTCTCTCTCTCTCTTTTTCTCTCTCTCTCTCTTTCTCTCTCTGTAAATATGGTCACCATATCTAAGGATCATCTTCTTTTTTCATGGCCTAGCCCTGGCTAGTCAGTCTCCACCCCAGTTCAAACTAATAGAGATCTGTTTAATAAAAGCCTCCATAAAAAGAGAGGCTATTAGTCTTCTTTACGTTCTTTTTCCATTTTCTTACATTATTAAATGAGATAGACAGTGCTTCCTCTGGTCTAACCTAAACTCAGTTTGTCTTTTATCTTTAGGAAGCGTAAATAAAAGTTACTGTCCTCTGTTAAATGATCCTTCAGATATTCGAAAATACTGTGAAAGATACTTTTACTTTTTTTTCATTTGTGAATTTAGTCAAATTTTCTAATTGGGGTGTGGCCTCTCTCTGTGATCTGGGCATCTCTGTACAATGTCCACATGGGAAAGGTGGTGATGGCACCACCTGGACTACTGATATCACATGCCATGGACCTGTATAATTTGTGATTGACTTCCTTACCTTCTCCCCACAAGCAGATTAATGGAAGAGGGGAGGTCACTTTGAATATTAAAATTCTGGAATCTATGATTTAATGGATTGTGGTAAAATGAAGTTGTGTATGACAGGGCAGAGATGAATATGTTTGAGAGCCTCTGGACAAAGGTGGAGGTGGGGGTGGAGTGGAAGAGTTGAGAATAGAAGGGAAAGTGCAGGAGAAATAAGGGAATGCAGACATAGCTTTAAGAGTCTGCATTCTTCAGATCCACTTTGGATAGCAGATAAAGACCTAGGATCTTCCCAATTTAGCAATCTCAAAATGTGTTGAAAATTCTCTGATTTCTAAAGCAGGGAAAACAACATGACTTGGAAGCCTGACTTAGAACTTTTCTCAATTTTCTTTTTTAAAGAAGGAACTAAAGATCTCTGGGGAGGCTGCTAGTCAACCAGATGTGGGTGGCTTGGATTAGGATTAGGATTTCAGTTACAAGAATAAATATCTATGATAGCCTCTGAAGAACTTAGACTGGCTTTCCTGGATCCAGTGGTACTTGGGATGAAGTAGACAGAAGGGCTCCATCAGGGACCCCAGGGATCCAGAAAGGAGTTATAAGAGGAAAGTCTGTTGTCCAATGTGGGCAGAGCAGCTGAGTCAGGAAGCCAAATCTGACCCTCTAGCTCCATGAACAGAGTGCCTCTAGAGGAAGTGGTAAAGGTTAAATATTTCTGGCTTTCTCTGTTAATTAAAAACAAGGGTGGGGAACAAGGGAGGGAAATTCACCTTTTAGGGAAAAGGCTGAAGGAGACTCCAACCCACTGGGCCCTGGGTGTGACAGTCTCAAATTAATATTCACAGTAGAAGACCCAGGAACAAAGTTCCCCCAAACAATGGCACAGGGGGGTCCCTGAATTCAGGGACATTCCACTCAGGATGGCAGCTCTCCCTTCCTGGCTCCTGGGATTAGTCAGGCAGACAATCCCAGAATAGCTCTGAGTTAGGCTGCATTCCTGGCAGGTAGTGAGTGGCCTGATTGCCCGAGACTGTATTTTGGGCTCAGTTATGTCAGTTGTACCAAACAACCTTCCAGAAAAATCTGTTTGGGGTGTATCCACACTTCACAATGCTAACTGACTTGCATGTCTTTGGGACAGCCAGTCCCTGCTGGGAAGTGGAATACCAAGGGGAGGAAAATATGGGAATTTCTGTTTCTCCAGGGCCTCAGAATTCTAGAGAGACCCCAAACTAGGGCATCTGAAAAGGGAACACAGAGGCTATGTCTCTGTCCATGGAATTAGCTGGAAACCCTAGAGCACACCCTCATTTTTGTGTGAAAGACCTGTCCGTCTGGAGGGTGCTACGTTCTCTTCCCTATTCAGTCTAGTTCTGGAGACAGTTGCCAGACTCTGAGTAACAGGCTGAGATCTCCTGACAGAAAACAGCACATCCAAGTCTATATGGTAGAAATGGCACCAGACCCAGTAAACGATGTACAATGTACAGCGTACAATGACACTGACTTCTGCTGTGGCCCTTCCAGTGACAAGACCAACTCTGAGCTTGGCTGTGATGGGAGATGTCATGCAGGTAAATGAAAAGCCAGTGCACTGGAGGACATTTGCTCATTCCTGCCAAAGAGGGGCATTCAGAGAACATGAGCCTGAGGGATTTACAGATTAAAGGAATACTGTAGACACAGTATATCTGGGTTCATCAAGGCGTTTGATTCAAGATATCCTGGTCTGAATGATAGGTGAATTCAAAACTGGTTGAATGACCAAATTCAGAGTATTGATTAATTGATTGATAACAACCTGCAGAAAGGCCTCTAGTGGCCTTCTCCATAGCTCTGAATTCTATTCCACTCATGTTCAACATTTTTATCAACAATTTGGATGCAGACAAAGAAGGGTGTGCATACCAAATCTGCAGATGACACAAGATTGCAGAGATAGTACATAAGTTGATAGGCTATAGGTGGTATAGAGAGATAGAGATCTGGGCCTGGAGTCAGGATGACCTGAGTTCATATATGGCCTGAGACACTGACTGTGTGACCGTGGGCAAGTTATTTAACTTCTGTTTACTTCAGGGCTGTTATGATGATCAAATGAATTAATATTTGTAAAGCATTTAACACAGTGCCTGGCACATAGTAGGCCCCATATAATTGCTAGATATTATTATCATTATTAATATAATTAAGATACAATTAATCAACAAACATTTGTTAAGCCAAGCACCAGGGATACAAAGAAAAAGCAACAACAACAACAACAACAAAAAACTTCCCTGATTTCACGGAACTTACAATCTCATAGGTAAGAAAACTGGTCAGGAAGGATGAAGATTGGGAAAAGATCACTCAATTTAGCAAATTAGTTCAATTAGCAAAAACTTTGGAGAGGGTGGTTTCAGCTAAATGATGAGGTTGGAAGTCAGATTACAAAGAATTTAGAAAAGATTGAGAGAGGGGGCAGCTAGGTGGCACAGTGGATAGAACACTGGCCCTGAAGTCAGGAGGACCTGAGTTCAAATCCAGCCTCAGACCAAACATTTGACACTTACTAGCTGTGTGATCCTGGGCAAGTCACTGAACCCTAATTGCCTTAAAAAAAAAAAGATGGAGAGGAAATAGAGTGACTTAGTACAGATGACTTTTGTGGGGAGTTTAGCTGAGAAGGGGAGAAAAGATATAGATCTATGGTTAGAGAGGATGGTAGTAGGATCAAGAAACAGGGTATTTTTTAAAGATGAAGGTGACCTGAGTCTATTTGCAGGCAGCACAGGAGGAACCAATAGATAGGGAGAGATTGAAGATTAGAGCCAGAATGGAGTTAATAGTGGGGGCAGTGTGCTGGAGGAAACAGGAGGGGATGGGATTTCGGATACATGTAGAAAAGGCGGCCTTGCCCAGAAGATGGCCATAGCTTCATCAGAAATTGAAGTAAAGGAGGAAAAAGTGAGAGAATGTTAAAGAGCATGAGAGATAACAATGAGGGAAGAAAAGGGAACTGATGGTAAATGGCCTTGATTTTTTTTTTAAGTAAAGTATGAGGTAAGGTTCTCAGCTGAGAGAGTGGAGGCAAGGGACCCTGTGGTAGAAGAGAACAGAAGGTTTGGGAAAGATGCTGTGGTGAGTGCGACAAAGAATGAATTAGGGAAGAGTAGAAGTATTTCTGGGACAGCTGGGTGGCACAGTGGATAGAGTGCCGGGCCTGAAGTCAAGAAGACTGATCTTCCTGAGTTCAAATCTGGCCTCAGACACCAGATACTCACTAGCTGTGTGACCCTGGGTAAGTCACTTAACTCTGTTTGCTTCAGTTTTCTCATCTATAAAATGATGTAGAGAAGAAAATGGCAAACCACTCCAGTATCTTTGCCAAGAAAACCTCAAATGGGGTCACAAAGAGTTGGACAGACTGAAAACAACTCAACAACAGAAAATTTCTAGCTACATAGTGAGGGCTCAGCTAAGATTATATAAGAGATTTGTAATGTACATACAGGCAATATGGTTTCATGACTTCTTCCAATTCTGTAGCACATGAATAGAAGTGAAAGAGCCAGATGGTGAGAGTAATCCAAGGTTGGAGTTTGGCAAGATGTGAACAGTGAAATGGAAAGGAAACAAGGAGTTTGAAAGTGAAAGATCTTTTTTGTTCAGTTGTTTGAGTCATGTCTGACTCTTCATGACCCCATCTGGGGTTTTCTTGGCAAAATTACTAGAGTGGCTTGCTATTTCCTTTTCCAGCTCATTTTACAGATGAGGAAACTGAGGCAAACAGGGTTAAGTGACTTATCCAGGATCAACAGCTAGTCTGAGGCCAGATTTGAATTTAGGAAGAAGAGTTTCCCTAACTCCAGGTCCTGCAAGCTATCCACTGTACCACCTTGCTGCCCTGAACAGAAGACAGTGAAGAGTTGAAATACTTCTCCCAGGGGCCAAGACTGGGAAAGGAGGAGAGTGATGGCCTGGGAAAATAACAACTGGCATAAATATAGTGCTTTGAGGTGTGTAAAGCACTTCCTGCATTACCTCATTTGATCCTCCTGACGACCTAGTGAGATAGGTGCTATTATTATCCCCTTTTTCACTGAGAAGGAAACTGAGGATGAGAATTTAAATGACTTGCCCAGGGTTACACTGCTGGTAAGTGTCTGAGGCAGGGCTCAACAAAGGTCTTCCTGACTCCAAGTCAGGAAGCTTTATCCACTTTGTCATCTAGCTGCCCTAAGGGAAGCAGAGATTGGAAGTAAAGATGAGGACAAAGAATCGGGTTAGGAATAATAAGGCATAGTGATAGATGGAAAGATAAAGTACCATGATAGGATAAAGAAATTCCATAGTTCTTGAACACAGGGATGGGAAACTTGTGGGTGATGGCCTGATGAAGAATGTATCAAGAGCCATTCTTGTGGTGTAGCTAAGCTGTGGAGTAGTGGAGTAGGTCAAGGGAGTTGAATTGATTAAGGGAACACCAACAGGTAGGTTGAAGTTCCATATTATAAGAGCAGGAGTTAGATTAGAGAGGAAAACTGATTAAGGCACCAAACTCAATGAAAAAGTAAGGAGAATGTCCTGGAGTCCATAGATAATGATACTATTAACGGCACTAGAATCTGGATTGGGTGATATACCTGGGAGGGAACCCCAAAAAAGGAGAGGTTGCTGAGTAATGGGCCTGGAGTCAGGAAGACCTAAATTCAAATGTGGCCTCAGATACTTACTAGCTGTGTGATCCTGGGCAAGTCACTTAACCTCTCTTTGCCTTAATCCATTGGAGAAGGAAATGGCAAACCACTCCAGTATCTTTGCCAAGAAAACCCCATGGACACTATAGTCCATGGAGCCAGGAAGAGTCAGAAACTACTGAACAACAGTAGCTGAATAAAAGAGATAGAGGCAAAGTTTACAAGTGTTGATGGTAAGCAATTCTGAGATCCAGAAGTTCTCTAGAGGCTGGAATAATGGGCAGCATTTAATAAGATGAATTTTGGCAAGTATAAATATAAAGTTCTACATTTAGGCTTAAAAAAACAACTTCCAAAGTATAGGATGAAGATGTGGTTAAACAGCAATACAAGAAAGAGAGCTGGAAGTTTTAAGTGACTATAAGCTAATGTTGAAGAACAAATGTTAATACTAATAATGTACTTTTTGATTTAGGCTCAAGTCTGCCAGGGATAATTTTATTTAATATTAATCTATATCTATGCCATTTCTAGTTTGGAAAGAGAATTGTCCAAAATGGTGTAGCCCTCCATGCCCTGTGACATGATTCTCTGCCCTAAAATGATATGAGGTAACATTTATAGGAAATTTGTACCAGCAAAATGTTATATATTAAAATACAGTAACCTTCTAGTTCCTTTCTGGACCATTCCCTTAAGGACTAAAAAGACTTCTTTTCTGCAATCTATATCTTAACCTAGAATGCAAAAGGGGACACTACTCTTAGGTGACTAAAGGCACTGATCACTTCTGGTGGGTGGGAATCTTATCTAAAGTTTAGTTATCACCATTGATCCATTTCCCTAAGAAGAACAGAGTCCCACCAAACAATCAATATTTATCTTTGGTTCTACCTGCTTTCCAAAAGAGAAAAATCTAGAAAGGGTTTTAGCCCAGAGAAATGTGTTTTCTTAATATTTCTAGAGAAACTAAAAGGAGGTTTTTTTAAATATGTTTCTACAAAAATATTGAGTCAACTACATAGCACCACCAAACCTAAACTGCATTAATAGCAGTCTAGAATAAGGGAATTGATTGTCCCACTATGCTATGGTCAGATCTCACCTCTAGTATTGTGTTTAGTTTTGGGTGACATATTTTAGGAGGAACATTGACAAACTGAAGCATGTTTTGGAAGAGTTATGATGAGGTTGGTGAGCAGACTTGGGAAACTAGGAATGTTTACCTTCAAGAAGAAAAGACTCAGGTGAGGGTCTTTGTAGTTGCCTTCAAAAATCTGAAATACTGTGTCCTGTGAAAAAGAGAGTAAATTTCCTCAGCTTGGCTCCACAGAGTAGAATGGCGGTCAATGGGAAAAAGTCACATTTCAGTTCACAGTAAGGATTGTTAATCAAAATATCAATAAATAACCATTTAATAAGCACCTACTATATGTCAGGCACTATGCTAAGTACCAGGGATACCAAAAGAGGCAAAAAACAGTCCTTGCCCTCAAGAAGGTTACAATCTAGTGGGAGATTCAACATACAAATATATACAAAGCAAGCTATATACAGGATAAATAAGGAAATATTCACCGAAGGAAAGCATTGAAATTAAGAAGGGTTGAAGAAGGCTTCCCATAGAAGGTGGTGGTATTATCATTATTATTATTGTTATTATTATAATAGCACTAAAATCCAGTTCTGATACCACTTCATGGTGTAAGGTGGCCCAGGTTCTCAAAAGCAATGTCAGCTGAACACAAGCTCTGACAGGGAGTCCTACCAAGTAGGAAAGCCTTCCAGTAAAGACCCACCCAGTGATAGATGGCGTCCCTTAAAGATTATTATTTTTTTCTTTTTTTTGGCTAGGCAGTGGGGTTAAGTGACTTGCCCAGGGCCCCACAGCTAGTACATGTTGTATGTCTGAGACTGGATTTGAACTCAGGTCCTCCTGATTCCAGGGCCAGTGCTCTATTCACCCTTAAAGATTATTACCAGAAGGTTGACTGCTAGGTGATTTTTTTTTGTTTTTGTCCAGAGCAATTCATGATCGCTACCTACCAAGGCAAGGCATGGAGAGGAAGAAGAGGGGTTGCAATCTATTCTGGAGGGTACACCCATGTCGGTGAAGCAATGTATCTTTCTATTTATATATTGAAGGAGAATGATGATGATGATGATGATGATAAATATTTATTATCAACTGAGGGTAACATGTACAATGGTGTCAAAGTTATGAAGTTCTGGGTTCAAGTTCTGCCTCTGACACACATACTGGCTATACGACCTGGGAAAGACACTTCTCAGTGCTCTGGGCAACTCTCTAAGAGTAGAAGTTGAAAAGAAGGTGTTACCTTGAAAAAAAAGTTCTTTCACCCAGGAGTTTCCTATACCAAAAAAAATCATAGTCTAGTCTCTATCCCTATCCTATCCTATCATCAGCACTACTGCTGTGTATATATGTATAGGGCTAGGGGTGGTGGTAGAGGAGAAGTGTGAGAGAAGTTATAAAGAAAGGGAATGGTGCACACTCAGATGACATGTGTCTTCCAATCACAGGAGCTGTCCATCATCTTTCCACAAGAAAAAGAAAAGAGGTAACTTGGGGATTGGGAATGGGGCCTCTATGGAGACTAAGGGAATGAGGGGATGGAGAGGAAGAAATTAGAGAGGATAGAGGGGAAAAAAGTATATTTAGAGAGAGCAAGGGGTTAAGAAGAGCAGTAGAAAAGGAAGCTTTGGAAACAATATGGGGAAATAGTTTAATAAAGAAAGTCTGTAGAGTTGAAGCTACCCCCAAACCCCAAAGTTCCTAACTTTGTTCCTCCCAGTAGCATGTGGTAGTAGGGGATTATTGCTGAGTCAGGAATTTAGTTGTTAACCCTTTGGGTCCCTTCCCTTCAGGGAGTCAAGCAAGAGGAAGAACAGAGAAGAAGCAGCAGAAGAGCACAAAGGTAATGTAATAGTACATTCCTGTCCTAATTCCAACACTTGGGAAAAGGATTCCAACAAGGCATTGGGAATTAAGGATTGGGAATTGGGATTGCTGGGACTCAAGGTTTGGTAGAGCTTGCTGGTTCAGTTCTTATAGAGGCAGAATAAGAGAAGATCAGTTTAACTGGTCTGTGGGAGTAATGCACAAAACCAAAACTCAGTCCCCTAAATCCTTCCCATTCCCTACAGGGCCCAGACACAATGGGACATACCTATGAGCTGGTGTCGGAGTTGCCCAGGTCTGGAGAGGGGAGTCGAGGCCCTCAGTCAGAGGACAGCAGCTTGCATTATGCAGACATCCAAGTGTGCAGCCGTACCCAGCCAAGATCTGCCCGAGAGGTGAAGCACCTACAGATAGAGAATGCCACCGAGTATGCAACCATTAGATTTCCCCAGGGCACACCCCACTATGACAGCAAAAATGGCACCCTTGTGTAAGCCCTGGGTACTAAACGCTGTGGAACGGAAAATATGTGGCAGTCCCTATCCTATATCACCAGAGGACAAAAGTCCTACACTTCTACAATAGATAATCTGATGCTGTTGGGGACTAGGTGACAGCCCCTCTTTCTTTGTTTCAAAATGTCTCTGGGCTCCCTGGAGTTTTAAGGCCTGGCTCCTATTCCAGGGTCTGTCTATGTGTTTTAAGAACAGAACTACGCTGGTATCTGAAACCCAAGGTCGAATGAAATCTTCACAAAACAGACAGAGCTAGGCTCAGTTTCGGAGAGCGATAGGCTAGTCCTTGCTCCCAGGAAAAACACAAAAAATGACGGTAACTTTATAAGCAACTGGACAAAAGCCTGATTACCACCTGGGGGTAATTCGATCTAGAGGAAACCCAGAAGCCCGAGAAACAATTAATCCCTGAAGATGCTGCTTCCTGGGGCTCAGGCTCTCCTTCCCACCAAGGGAAAGCACAATGTTCATGCCCGTTCTGAGACCAGCAGCTCCCTGTCCATCCAGTCGTGGAAAGTGGACACAGAAACTCCTCCCTTGGACGACAGTTCATACTGATACGAGGGGCGATCCCCATGGTGGGAAGGGGAGCATCTCTAGGGAGAAGAGGGAGGCTGAATGGAGTGGGGAGAGTGGCGTAGGGCGTCCTAGGGATTAGCCCCTCGTTTGCAAGGCCGGCCCTGCCTGTATGGAGAAAGACGGTCTTCGGGGTAAATAAACCGATGTGGAACACGCTGCATGGGGGTTTGGTGCCTTCTCTGGGGAGAAGGGGCGTCTTCGCGGTGTCGCTCTCCTCCCGTCCCAAACAAGGGTTTAGCTCTCAGACCTAGGGCCTGAGACAGGGAGGGACCCGGACGGCACGGGGGCGGGGTGAGGAGGAGGGGCGTGACCAAACGAGGTCGTGAAGGGGGCGGGGACGGAGAAAGAATGTGGGTGGGGGGCGTGGCCTGGGGAGGGGCTAGATCAAAGTCGTGAAGAGGGCGGGGACATAGGGAGAAAACGTGAAAGGAAGGTGGGAGGGCGGAGGAGTGGATGAGGGGCGGAGCCGGAGGGGGAGGGGAGGGCGGTCTCCGCGTCGCCATGGCAGCGGGAACGCGCCGCGCCTCCCGGAGCCTCAGCCTGGGCGGGAGCCGAGTCTGGAGCAGGCCCTGGCCCAGCGGGGCTGCCAGGAACGGGAGCCCAGCCTTGTGCGCCCAGGTGCGGGGCGGACAAGCCGGGACACCGGGTCTGGAAGGATGCTAGGCCCAGGAGCTCCTCGTCTATAATATGGGGACACTCTACCCCTTTACACAGTGCTGCTGTGGGGAAAGAGCTTTGTGAATCTTAAAGCGCTCTGGAAGTGTGAGTTATTATTATTAATTTTTAGGAAATTAAAGTTATGGGGCAAGGGATAACAAAGAGGCATGGAGCAGGTGGTGAGCCTGCAGCCTCGGGGTGGCACTACAGCCCACTCCCAGTGCCCAGGTGGTGAAAAGACAAGGGAGAGCTTGCCTGGGCATGGATGGGAATGAATGAATGAATGAATGAATGAATGAATGAATGAATGAATGAAGCATTTATTAAACGCTTACTATGTGCAAAGTACTGTGCAAAGCCTGGTGATACAAATAGAAAAGCAGACGATCTCTGCTTCCAAGGAGCTCAAGTTCTAATGGAAGGAAAGGAGGAAAAAGGACTGGGGGGGGTGTCACACACATGGAAGAAGGAAGGACCCTTATCCAAGACTTTAAGGGTTCTGAGCTTTCTCTAGGCCACAGATTTAGCAGAGCACAGCACTTAATTCAGAGCTTTGGAGTCCTGATCAACCTGTATGGTAGTGTTAGACTTCTTTTTTCCTTTGGGCCAACTCTTACTCACCTCTTTCATTTCTACCTGGTCACTGGGAGTACAATATTGCCTTAAGCAGTGGTCAGGCTGTCCAAAACAGAGCCAGGGCACAAAACAAATAGCTGTAGTGTTGTTTATCTGCCAGACTTCAAGGCTTGTAGGGGGAAGATACTTTTTTTTAAAATGCTGGAGAGTTGAAATTCCATGTTTCATTTATGGTGATGGTGATGATACACAATGGAAATATTGCTTTTGTGGATTAAAACTGGGGACTGAGAAGGGTGGGGAAAAACCAAGAGTTGTTTTTTTTTTACGCTGCTCCTTGGCTTTCTGGAGGTTTGTACAAAGCTGTAACTAGAAATACTTGTACAAAGCTATAACTATGACTTTTTGTACCTAGATTAAGACACTTGGGGCAAGCAGCATGAAAGGCTCTCTCAGTTGGGGAGGGGGACAGGACACCACCCTACTGTAGAGAAACAGAGACTCTGGGACATTAGCTTGAGGTAGCTACTAGGGAAAAGCTCACTCCAGTATAGCGAAGGACTACAAAATACTGCCCTCTTTGGGTGGTAGTCACCCTGCCTGAGTTATGGCTTTGTTTTCAAATATCTCTACTTCTTGAGGGTATTATTACATCTAGTTTCTATAACTGAAGGATAGGTGTGGGAGAACATAATGCTTTTTGGGGCAAATAGCAGACCGGAATTGCCACCTTTTTTTTTTATTACTGTTACAGCTTTGGTTATGGGGTGATGACAGTGCCAAGGCTGTTCAAATCTCTATGGAGTAGGCCTGGTTTGATCACTTTAGGCTGAGCTTCTTGCTGATTAGGCCCCTGCTTTTAAAAACTGTAAGCTATAAGTAACCCACCTTCAGTTTAAGGAAAGGGAAGCTTCTCTGGGAGAGGTGGCTTCAGTTAATTTCAGCTTCCAAAAGTTCCTAAACTGTTTTCTCTTCCCATATCTTTGCAGGTCCCTCTCTCTTCCTCTTCCTTATCTTTGATTCCTGAGGGTGGCTTTGAACCAGCTGCCCCAGGGCCACAGAAAATGGGGACCCCAGTGATCACGGGGTATTGTAACTCTCTGCAGGCAGGAGAGCCATTGGTAAGTTTCTGATGTATCCTTCAGATAAGTATAATGATATCATGAGGTTTAGGGCTCCTGTATAGTTCTGTATCTGGGGGATTCTAGACCAGATTGTGGGCTCTTGCAAGGGTAGACTAATAACACAGCTCCCTTATACTAATATTTTATAGTTGTGCTGGAATCCTTTCTCTCTTCTAGCTCACTGGGTTGTTGACTGTGATACCTCTATCTGCACTGCTTGGAATCCATTAAGTCAGGCATAGAGTGGAAAGTTCCATTTATTCATCAGAATCAAAATTTAAAAAAGAAAAAAAAAGAAAGAAAATCCATGTGTATTTTAGACTTAATCTACCAAGTTCAGAGGGTAGTTGAATTGATGAGGTAAAAGTGACCTAGTAGTAATCTAGTCACTAATTGCAAGGATGACCCAGTCTCCACAGAAGGGGCTTTACATTTATTGCATTTTAATTGTGTTATTAACATTATAAAATCATACCTCATATACCCAGGCAATCCAGAGTTGGGAAGAGCTGAAGGGCGAATTGAGACATAGATTTGTTCAGATGTCACACACAGATTATCCACAAGATGTCGCTGCCCTTATCTAATTTTCAATCCAGAAAGCTGACTGTCCTGAGCATAGCTGATGGCTCATTTTTTAAAAATTAATATTAAGTATGTTTATATATCAGCTTTGGTACATTTTAAGTGAAGCACTAGCATCTGGTGATTCCTTTATTGGCTTTCTACACCCCCTGTCTCTCACCATTCTGCCTCTTTTCCTTTCCCACCTACCTACTCATTCTGTCTCACTCACCAGTGTGTACTTTGTCACCATATCCTATTTCCTTATGTATTCTCATTTTACTATTCTTATCTCCTTTTTCTATTCTTGTGTCTTGGGTATACGTGTGTGTGTGTGTGTGTGTGTGTGTGTGTGTGTAGTCAATCCTCCATTGTCTGTGCTAACGGAGAAGAGTAGAAACATGATCATCCAAACTCGTAGGTCTTTCTGTACTAAAACTATTTATATTTCATTTGATAATACAAAGAGAAAGACATATATACGGTTGCATATATTTAGATATTCTGAATGTGACTATATCTACTATGAATAGGCATCTATATGAGAGGTGTATTCAATTTAACAAGTATTAATACATACCTACTTTGTGCTCAGTATTTTATTAGGTTCTTCTAGGGGATGAAAAGCAATAAAAGACATGATCATTGCTCTTATAATCTAAAAGAGGAGACAGCAGCACCCAAAATGGTAGTGAACAATACAAGACAGAAGATCATAGTGTCACAGGAGAGGAGCACAGATTTAGAACTGGAAGGGACCTTATAGGTCATCAAATTCAACTTCTTAATTTTATAGATGGAGAAACTGAGACCCAGAAAGCTTAAGTGATTGCCCAGAATCACACAGCTGACTATGAAATGCTAAATTGTACAAGTGTGGTAGAAGTTCAGAGGACAGTGAGAATGAGAATGAAGTCATGAGAGAAGGCTATGTATGGAGCAGGGGATACTTGAGTTGGGCCTTGAGGGATATGCAGGATTTGGATGGGCAGAGTGGAGAGAATACATTATTCTAGATAAGGGAACAACATGATTGAAGGCATGGAGACAGGAATGAGCATGACCTATTTGTATATATTTGGCATATCGATACTAATCTCTATCCCATATAGAGATAGAGATATATGTGGGACCTTAGGGCCTTAGGATGCTTTGTTGCAAAAAATATGGTACAAGTAGATAATTCTGGCAATGTGGCAACAATAGTAGCAAAATCTTACATCCCACGTTTTTCTGACTCTTCCCCCAGGCAGAGCAGCTGGTAGAAATTGCGTACAGGCTTCACTTGTGTTGAATCCCTGATACTTCTGTACCATATGGCTTTGCTACCTCCAAATCATTGTGCGACATTGGTCATAGTCCTCTGTCTTCGTATTTTTCCTTTTTGGGGGGCAATTTGTGGGAACCCCCCCATATATATGACTATGATATCACTGGAGGGATTTAAGGGTACTTCTACTTTTAAGGGTTAGACAGGGGATCGGAGCCAAAGCTCAACTGGCAAGACGTCAGAAGGACCACCCTTCTAGGGTGAACCATTGTAGGCATCCTGAGTGCTCTAGGGGTGATCTAATCCTGGTCTCTAATAGCTCACTCTTGGGCTAATGTAGAGAACCTTTGTACTTAACCCACATCTTGCTCTGATTGATTTACATTGCTGTGAGTCTTTTTCTCAGACACTGTGAACTTAGTGACAGGTTCTAGCTTGATGAATGTCTTGTTTCAAGGACAATGACTTCATCACAAGTAAGTGACAGCAGTTGTAGTATTAACAAGTTCCTCTGTTGCTGATTGTTTTCTACCCAGTGTTATATCATCATGTTCCAGACTCAAGATTAGAGGGCCATCACTGGAGGAACAGTAATGGTTGTGTGTCTTGACTTTGTATTCACCATGAATTTGGGTAGAAATTGCAAAGAAGCAGATTTTGGCTTCATGTAGGAAAAGCTACCTAATTAGCACTATCCCAAATTGGCATGGGTTGCCTTGAGAGGTAGTGAATTCCCTGTTGCTGTACATCTCAGTCTGGGT